AAAAATCCAAATATATATAGAAGTTTGTAACTACGGTGTTTTGTTGGTTTTACTGGCTCTGGACCTGTTTGACTTGTTCGTTATCACCGGTTCTGCAACCATTTTTTTTGTTTAACATACTGAACACACCATTTTCTGGCTCAGCAGGTCAAATGGTTTGTCTGATTTTCAAAACTCTGATTTTAATGTACGATTTACTATATTTTGTCAAGGCATATGGAACCAACAGTTAAACTGCACCAAATATATAAATCACTTTGCCTTTGTTCTCAGAAGTGCATGAACTAAACAATTTTGAAGCTTGGATAACATAGCATATATAAATCACTTAAGTGTCTCTTTGCCTTTGTTTTCTGGTGTTGATAACTGTCGCTACTGCGAAAAATAGCGCCGACAATGACACAAGAGTCGCCACCGTGCGTTATTTATCCTAAAGGAGGGAAAGGAAACGCTCAGAGTAAACCTAACGCAAAGGGGGAAAGGAATGGTCATCGCAACCAACTCCTGGATTCGGGAATCGGTTAGCAAGGGGAAGGTATTAGCACCCCTCACGTCCTTCGTACTCGATGGAATCCATGCTTGTTGTCTATCTAAAAGGGTGTGTTGAAACTATCTACTCTATAGGCTTAGGGACAAAAGAAAAGAAAAGCGACTCGGTAGAACACAACAATTCTATACCTACGTATTCCCGTCTGAAACGAGAAATCAGAGTCAACGTAGTTCGCCTACCTATAGGAAAGGAGGGGAAGGTTGCTCGCCGAGATATCGCATCTCGTGCCTACGTACTTTCATACGACATGAAATATCAGAGAAAACATAGTCCGGGATACGGAAGACACAAGTTTGTTTGACAGTGTTTATCTCCTTATGAAAGGGTTTTCGTGATTAAGGGTCCAAGAGGACAAAAAGAGTTTGATTGTTTGTTTTCAGTCTTTTACGGAAGAAATGTTTTTTAGGATGTTTGCAATCTCTGTCGCACTAGAGACTATGACCTAGGAGTGAATGCGTCGCATGTCACCCAAAGGGTACCACACTAAACATCTAGATTACTGGAGAGAGACCCTCCAACAACCCTTTCCTAGATAGCTTAAGGCTCGTAACGTACGACTTCAATTAACCTTATTACTGTGTTTTTGAATTGTTTTGAGATGAGAAGAGAAAGACGCTCTAAAAAGCCTATGGTTGAAAGGGAAATCTACCTAATGTTATCATGCATGGTTTAGAAACCTAATGTCTGTCATAATTCCCTCTTGCACATAGGAAATCAGAGATCCTAGGGGAATACAGCAAAAGAAAGCAAGCAGTAAACAGTAAACAATAAAATGCATGCAATGCAACAGTACAAGCGAGGCAAGGGAGACATGCTCTACCTCAAACCTAAGAAAACGACAGGAAAGGTGGACCAACTCCACCTCAAACCTACAGGTAAGCCACACAAGTTAAACAGACAATACAGTAAAAGAAAAACAGAGGAAGCAGCCCAAGCAGCAGCAACAATCTTCTACAGACAACATCTTCAATCTTCAACAGTAGCTCTAAACAGCAATCCTCTTGACAACAAAAAGTCTTCATCTTCAAGCTAGCTCTTATCTTCAAGCTTCTTTAATCTTCATTTTCAAGCTCTAGCAAGCATCCACAAGAAGAGAAATCATCATTGAGATCAAGTTACAATGAAGAGAAACCTGATGAAGACCAAAGGAATTCATCAGGAACCAACATTGGAAAGAAAGTGCATCCTCAAAAGTTCTACTCATTAAGGCATGCCATTCATCCCTCCAAAGGAGATATGGGCTTCTCTAATAGGACTTTGCATCATAGGATAGGATAGAAACAAATAATGCATTCTATTTTTGATGAAAGAAGAAGAACTAGTTCTAATGGTTCTTCCTAAAACCCTAATCCTATAAGCTTCTAAAAAGCTCCTAAAAGAGAAAGAAAGCTCCACTCCAAGCTCCACCAGCCAAGAAACAGCAGCTACAAGATGTCCAGAAACTCCTCCAAGAAGGCAATCAAGCACTTCAAGCTCCAAAGCCACCAACAAGATCAAACAAGGCAAGGCACCAAAGAAGGAACACCAAATGCACCATCAACTTGCAAATTCTATCTAAAATAGAAAACTAAGTTATAAAAATCTAAGACTTTTCCTAAGGGAACACGCATATTTTAGCATTCCAGGGTTCAAGTATCAGAGCCTAAATCAACTTCTAGGTCTACTAAATAAATCCTAAGTTATAATGTGTCAAGGTAAACCACAAATTGGAGAAGGCTCTAAACATCTCACCTAAAACAGAACCTACAATTGTCTATAAAATCTAATAAAATTCCTAAGGGAGCATGCATATCTGACCTATAACATACTAAAAAATTAAAGCCAAAAACCAAACCAAGAGATCAAACCAAAATCAACAAAACAGATAGGCAATTATGCAAAATTAAAGAAATAACATAAAAGAGAAAAATTCAAATTAAATTGAAAAATGAACGAAAATGCAAACTATTGATTCCTGAAAATCACAAATTTAATCAGGAGCATGGAAATATTTTTAAAATATTTTTCAGATCAAAGATGGATTTATTATGATTTTTGGAATCAATATGCATTAAAAATAAAACTAAAATGAATAAAAATAAACCAAAGCCAAGAAAAAACGAGGACGGTTGGATCTGGTGACCGGTCAATGCATTAAGCGCTCAGGAAAGTGACACCTAATTTAATGGAACGCATCATTCCAAGTCCAAAGTCTTCAGAAAATGAAATTAAAACGTGGTCGTTGGATTTGCGTACATAGTCGTTGGCTTCACAAGATCTGATGGTCCAAACATCATCTTCTCCAATTTAAAGTCAAAACGGAGGGAAGCTGGTGTGGTGGCCGGAGAAGACCTCCGGTCGTCTTCTCCGGAGGTGTGGTGGTCTCAGGCAGCCAAAACAGGTCAAGTCTTATATCAAATTCATCAGAAATCCATCAGGATCTCAAATCTCCTATCCAAATCATCTAACTCTCGATAGGTTTCAAAATTCGAAGGCAAACAGAAATTGCATCATGAAATTGATCATCACTAAATCCAAATCTAAAACCATAGGATTGATCCTCATGCTTCATACATCACTCTGATCTATCCAAATCATGTTGAATCCTTATAATCAGATCAAACTGTGCTCAAATAGAATTCACATGTCACCTAAGTTTGTCTCTAATTGCTTAGAATTTTGTCCAGAAACGATCTACAATCCACCTAGATCCTAACAACATGCTCAAGACGATCTACATCTTGCTATAATTGTGAGAAATTTGGAAGTTACATACCTGATGTAGATCCACTAACAAAGGTAGCTAGAGCTTGATTCTTGCTTCAAAACCTTCCAGAAACGATCAGTGATGCAAGAGGAAGCTACTTGATCCTTCAATTTGATCTGAATTGGCCTGGAAATGAAATCACGATTCTCACTTGCTTGCTTGCAAAACCAACTTCTATCTCTGCCTCCACCATGAAATGAGCTCCAACCTGAGTCTGAAATCAATGCAAGACTTATATAGAGTGTGTTTGTGGGCTTTTGAAGCTCAATTGAAGCCCAATCTAGCAATTCACAATTCTGTTTTGCTCTTGAAAGTTTGAATGTGACAGTCGTGGAAATGCACTCCCAGCTTGTTCCAGAAGTTTCCTTTTGCTTGCATAATCACTTGCGAACGAGTTTAGATCAAAAGGAATGTCCAATTTGCTTTGGTGAGTGTTTTTGATGTGTAACTTGCACATGAAGTAACAACTTTGTAACTTGTGAAATTCTTCCCCAAATCAAAAATCTACCAATGCCAATGTGTTTAAAATGCCAATTCCATTCAAAATAAGTACTCACTTGACCTCTTTTGATCACTTAACCCAAAATTTGAATTTTCCAACTTTGAATCCTTTTAAAACCTTCCTTTTTAAGCCATTTCAAGTCAAATCCTGCTATGAGCCAAACCAATGCACCATGAGTCCTTGGTTGACCTAAAAACATCATTTTGAGAAAGTTCCATGTTGAACAAATATTCATTTGAGAAGTGCAAGATAGAGATTTTGACCTATGATCCAAAATGGCCTATAATCTCACTTTCCCAAAATACCCCTGGCTTGCAAAGATCATAACTTGAGCTCCACAAATCAAAATGAGGACTTCTATACCTTTTTGGAAAGCTAAGATCATGAGGAACAACTTCCATGTTGGCCAAAGATCCATTTGGAACTTGTATCTTGACTTATGTGGTCTTGAAGTTAGGTACTAAACATGAGATTTTACACTGAAACCCTAATTTAACAACTTCCCACACTCTTGATTCTTCTTGACTTGATCTTGAGACAACATCACAAATGTCTCAAAACATCATTCCATACACACCGTGACCTAAAAGTAGGCTTTGATACTCTTCAATTGCACAGTTGACCTAGGGTTGACCTAGATGAAACCCTAGTTGCTTGCACCTCAACTGTGGCCCTTGTACTTAACACAATGACTTGATTAATGCTCCAACATGACCCTATAGGCATTACATGAGCTCTATACACCTCTTATATTCAAAATCCAAGCTTCACATCCCCCTGATGGTCTTCAATAGTCCTCAAGTTAGGAGAAAATCCATATATAAGCATTCAAACTTCTCAAGACCTCAAACCAACTCCTGATGACCTTGATGACTTCTCAAGCTTGAATAAGACCTTTGGCTAGGCTTCTCTTGATAATAATCACACTTGATCCCCTGCTAGATGAATGATATTATGATATGCAAATGATATAACTATGCAAATGTTAATGCAATAAACATAAACCAGGTGAGAAAAGGTTGAGCAAATTTTGGGGTGCAACAATATCCCATTGCCTTTGTTTTGTGTTGTCAAATTCATGTCTAACAAGTGAACGTATCAAGTTCGAATCTCTTTTCCTTTCTAGTTAATTTAAAACTGTATTTTAAGAATAAATAATCTATGCGTTTCTAATTTATTTTCCTAATTTTAACAGAATCAAGATGACTAATATTGGCACAACTTATGCAACATCCGAGAATACGGTTTCAACCCCTCTACCTACAATCTTTAGTGAAATTCCACCTCCTCACATTAAGAAACGAAAGAATTGTTTAGAGGTTTGGAATCATTTCATTGTATCGTCGGAAGAAGAACAAAAAGCTTCGTGCAAATATTGTGACATAAAAATTAAGTATAATAATGGAACTAGTTCCATGCATGCTCATTTATTGAGATGCCTCTTTTACAAGAGGAAAAGGACATCGTCTTCTATGACAAGTGCTGAAGAACATGTTGGGTCTCCTTTAATCGTCAAGTTTGACTAAGAAGCCATTCGAAGAGCAATGGTTAAAATGTTCATAAACATGGAGATTCCTTTTCGGAAGGTCGAACATGAGTCTTTTCATGAATTTATGAGTCTCACTTCACCAAGATTTCAGATTTGTTCGCGCACAACATTGGCCCGTGATGTCTTGAAACTGTGGGACACAGAAAAGATAATTTTAAAAAATTTGCTCTCTCTGAATTGTCGAAGAGTTTGTCTCGCCACTAATATGTGGACTTCTTGTCAAAAGTTGAGTTATATGTGTGTGACGGCCCATTTCATTAACAATAATTGGCACTTATAGAAGAAGATTTTAAATTTTTGTCAAGTCACAAGTCATACAGGGGATGCTATTTGTGAAACAATGGAGATGTGTTTGAACAGTTGGGGCTTAAACCGCGTGCTTAGTTTGACGGTTGATAATAGTTCATCTAATGATGTTGGAGTTGAACGTCTCAAGAGAAGGCTTTTGTCTAAGAATAGTTTAATAAATGAGCGGAAACCATTTTCATATGAGGTGTTGTGCACACGTATTAAATCTAATTGTGAAAGAAGGTTTGAAAGACATTGATAATTCTGTTTATAGAGTTCGTCATGTTGTTTGGTATGCTAGATCTTCTCCGGCAAGGCTTGCTAAATTCAAGGCATGTATTGATAAGGAGAGCATGGAATATAAAGGTTTAGTTTCTCTAGATGTTGAGACTCGTTGGAATTCAACTTATTTGATGTTAGTATCCGAATCAAAACATGAAAGAACCTTTGATGAATTAGGTTTTCGAGATAAATGGTACGTGAAACTTATTTTGTTTATGTTTGTTAATTTTGAGAAGATGAAAGGTTAGCATTAGGGCCAGCTTTGGCAATAACTTCAATGATTCTAAGTTCTAAAGCTTATTTTAGAGTCATTGGAACAGAAGAAGCACATGCTAGTTCCATAGCAAAAAGGAAAGCTTCTTCATCGGATACTTTCTCCATTTTCTCAATCATATGCATATGTTATACTATACTTTGATGTTAGAGTTTTGTAGGTTCTCTAATTACCTCTTTTAGATGTCAATAGTTGTGCTCTGCTTGTTGCTTCCCTACTATCCTAAGAATCCGTTGATAATAAATAACTATCCTATAGTGAATCCCGATTAATGATTTGCATATCATGTCTACATAAAAGTAAGACCACTTGTTTATTACTCCTACTAGTACCAATTTACTGCTATCCTAAGTTCCGAACTTAGTTAGATGCAAATTTAGTGAAAAACACCACATGACAACATGTTCCAAGGTACCAACCCACTCGGGCATTCTTACTTTAACCGAAAATAATAGTTACAACTTTCCCTTCAATTATTAAATTTTTGTTACTACATCCACACACATTGGGATTGTTTTTCCAAAATCTCAACTACGCATTAATTTCATTCAGATGACCAAAACTCAAATTCTAATTCTACCTTGCTAGTGACATGGCATATTAACACTACACAACAACATAGTGTGAGTCATCATAATGTCAAAGGAGAACTTAATCATCTACTGTCATCAACTCTCCATCAACCCAGCCGCGGAGGCCGTAGTACAAGGTAGACGTAGGCAGTCCCCCAAAAAGTCAGCGGCGGCTGAGAAAGCTGTAAAAGACCTCCTAGAGGAAAATTTTATTTCAGAAGCCCGGTATTCAACCTGGCTGTCCAATGTTGTACTTGTAAGGAAGTCTAATGGAAAATGAAGGATGTGCATTGACTACACTGATCTCAAGCGGGCATGTCCAAAGGATGCCTATCCCCTCCCCAACATCGACAAACTCGTCGACAATCTCGACGGGTTTCAAACTACTGTATTTCATAGAAGCCTACTCGGGATACAATCAAATCCCCATGGCAGAAGTCGACAAACAGAGCACGACGTTCATGACCGTTCCGGGTAACTATTACTACAACGTAATGCCCTTCGGCCTAAAGAACGCTGGCACCACCTACCAACGGATGATGAACAATGTATTCTGGGGAGAGATAGGCGACATGCTCGAAGTCTATGTAGAAGACATGATCGTCAAATCCTGTGCCGAGGTCGACCACACGACACATCTCAAGAAGGTCTTCGAGACGACGAGGAAATACCGGATGCGGTTCAACCCGAAGAAATGCACATTTGGGGTGTGCGCGGGAAGTTCCTCAGATTCTACCTGATCGAAAGGGGAATCGAGGCAAACCCGGACAAATTCTGGGCCTTCTTCGAGATCGAGATGCCGAGCACGAAGAAGTCGATACAATCCCTCAATGGGATGCTCGCCTCCTTGTCCCGCTTCGTCACCAAATCTACACATCACACCCTCTCATTCTTTAAACTATTAAGAAAGGAAGCCATATTTGAATGGACGTAAGAATGTGAGCAAGCCTTCCTCCATCTCAAAAGTGTCCTGTTGGAACCACTTGTCCTGACAAGACCCGATGTCGGGGAGACCCTCTACCTGTACTTGGTCGTCTCAACCAAGGCCGTGAGCGCCGTACTAATTTGGGAAACCCCTGACGGACAAAAACCGATCTACTTCACGAGCAAGACCCAGAAGTAAGATATCAGCAGATCGAGAAAGTCGCCCTGGCCCTAATCAACGTAGCCAGGAGACTCTGACACTACTTCCTGGAACATACTATCGTAGTCAGAACTGAGCAGCCGATCAAACAGCTGCTCGACAGACCTGACATAGTAGGGTGCATGCTAAAATGGTCGCTAGAGCTCTCCGAGTTCGACATCATCTACGAAGGAAGGAAAGCGCTCAAGGCACAAGTGCTGGCCGATTTCTTCGTCGAGATAACCCCCGCCATGGAGCCCACAAGTGGACCATCTTCATGGACGACGCTTCAAGCCCCTTGGGGAGAAGCACATGCATCATCCTGGAAAACAAAGAAGGCATAGTCGTGGAGGTCTCCCTGACCCTAGCATTCCCGACGACGAACAATCAAGCTTAATACGAAGCCTTCTTAGACGAACTCCGCCTGGCAGAGGACCTCGGAGCCAAGGAGATAAAAACCTTCACGGAATCCTAGTTAGCTGCCTCATAAGTTCGAGGCGAATGCCAAGCGAAGAACGATAATCTGGCCGAATATTTGGCCCTTATCAGGGAGCGGATGAAGAGTTTCGACTCTGCGGAAGTACAACATGTTCCACGCGAGCAGAATACCCGGGCGGACATCCTCTCGAAGTTGGCGAGCACAAAAAAGAAAGGAAGAAATAAATCCATCGTCCAGGAGATCCTTGCACAACCGAGTACGGAGAAGGCGAAAACACTGCTTGACGTCAACGCCATCGGGGATGCAGACTGTTGGATGACCCCGATACACGCTTGCCTTAGCACGAGACACCTCCCCGAAGACCCCAAAAAGGCCGGTATAGTCAAGCGACGCGCCTTCTTGTACATGCTGCTCGAGAATAAACTATACCGAAGAGGCTTCTCGATCCGTCTCCTCAAATGCGTCGACAAAACCCAAGCCTTGACCATCCTGCAAGAGGTCCATGAGGGCATCAGCGTGCAACACCTCAAAGGATGGTCTTTGGTGAGGAAAGCCTTACGAGCTGGGTATTACTAGCCGATGATACATGGGGATACGAAGGAACACGTAAAGAGGTGTGACAGGTGCCAGCAGCACGGGGACATGCACCTCTCCCCCCGAACGAGCTCAAGTTCCTCTCTTCCCCCTGGCCGTTTTCCTGGTGGGTGTTGCTACGCGAAAAATGACACAGAGTCACCACCGAATTTTATTTATCCCAAGGAGGGAAAGGGAAATAGCGATAAAACCTTTGGGAAAAGAGCGTGGTCATCGCAACCAAGTCTTAGGGTTTGGGAGTCGGTTATGCGAGGGGAAGGTGTTAGCACCCCTCGCATCCATCGTACTCGATGGGAACCTTCTAGGTTATTTGGCGTGAATGGGTGTTTTATCTTAAAGGTTTGTTTGTTTAAGGAAGGTGGGGTTTGGTCATTTTATTATAGTGCTCGCCAAGGATTGTGGTCCTTGTGCCTACGTATCCTCACTTAAAAGAAGTGAAGAATCAGAGCTCCGTAGTTCGGAGGCTTTGTGAAATAGTTGTTTGTTGGTTGATTTTATACCTTGAAAAAGGGTTTTTGGATTGACGCCCTAAGGCAAAAAATAGTTTGATGAGTTGGTGTTGTTTTTAGGTTTTTGAAGAAAATGTGTTCTTGATTAGGATTATACAAAAGACTTTGGATAGAGATGAATGTCTCAAATAACCAAGTCGAGCGCCTTGTATTCGAAACATTCGGAACGAGTGTAGAAGGGTTCCATTCTCGTTCATTCTCCACCACTTTAAAGTTCATGGTGCATAATTCCAATCGTATATTTTATTGTGTTTTATATTCTTATGAGAAAAGAGAACCACTTGACGTTGGATCAAGGTTTGTTGCTTGTAAAGATATTTTAAGTGACGCGATTAAGGTCGATGGCGGTGCGCAAGGCATCCGACTTACATGGTCAAAAATTGCTCGATAAAATCGAGAGTTTACTTTTAAAAATAGTTTTTGGAGACAAAGGTCAACAAGGACCATAACAACATTCACATACTAAAATCATACAAACATAAGCTAGACGGCTCAAAAAAATCGAGACACATCAAAAACAGTAAAAATGTGAAAAAAAACAGTGGTGTGACATGGGTGGCCGTGTTGTGTGACCCGGCCCGTGTCGTGATACCAGAAGAATAATGGTTTTGGACATGAGACAGAGGTGTGACATGGGTGGCCGTGTTGTGTGACACGGCCCGTGTCACAAAACCTGGGGGAAAAATGCTGAAAAAAAGCTAAAACAGCGGTGCAACACAGCCGGCCGTGTTGTATGACACGGCCCGTGTTGCGGGTCCTGTGCAAAAACACGCTGAAAAATATTAAACAGAGGTGCAACACGGCCGCCCGTGTTGTATGACACGGCCCGTGTTGCAAGACCTGGCACTTTTCACACAAAAAACCTCACACAGTGGTGCAACACGGTCGGCCGTGTT